ACCATATTTATCTCTACAGCTCCAAATCTAATCCTTATATTACATTGTTCATACAATTAAAGCTCTCTAGCTCAGAGTTTTGTCCCCTCTAATGTCCTGAAAAACAGGATAATATGGTCATGTTGTAATGTACTATAGTCATTTTTTTCCCAAATGTAGTTATGAGTAGATGCTTATACCAAATTGCAAAAAAAGAAAGGATTTTTAATGGTCATTTATTACAGAACCATAAGGTAACTGACGAGGAGACCAGATTTAGCAGCCTGAATCTGACATCTTAACAATAATCGGTTTGCCAGACACGTTACCCAAATTATTTCATGTGATTTGTCATAGCAACCTTATTTCATGAGATGATTGATAGATCGTGAGTTGGCTCTCCTCAACCTTACTACCGCCTCCCTCCCTGAGGAGATTCCACAGACGGTCGTTGAAGAAAAATCATCTGTTTTTTTTTCATTAATAGTATTTAATTTTCAGAGACATTTGTATTCTTTAATATTATACTTTACTTTTTACTATCTCTTAATCTTTAAAATTAGACATGTACAGCTAAGATCTAGAGAGATTTAATCTCACAAATAAGTGAGGCACTTCAAGAAACTATAAATTTAACTGTATAGTGCAGTTTTTGATGGAATGAAATGAAGATTAATCTACTCCAAAAGGCAAGTTCTGAGGGATGAAAAGAGACTTCAGGCTTGCAGCCCAATTTTAGTGATGCAAGAATGGGCTCAGAGCAGAGGCAAGAACTCTGGGGCTTTCTCAGGACTTGCAGGAATCCTCTCCCCCAGGCGACATGAAATTAGACTGATTTCATTCAGTTAGAATGTGCCCAGTACTCTGACTCTTCATTCTCTAATCCCCACAGCCGAGACTGCTTTCTTTACCTTGTCTCAAATTCTGAGACCAATTATGCTTTTATATAAGGGAAATGGAAGGAAAATAATAACATCTGTTGAGTACTTTCTCTGTGCCAGACATATTATCCAAATCATTTAATTTGATTCCTCACAGCAACCCTAATTATTGCCAATGCACAGCACTTAAGACAATAAATTCAAAAAATAATTGTTGACTGATTGAACAAACATGCAAAGCATTAATAGTTCTTTGTATGTATACCCATTTTATAATTGAAGAAATGGGTGCTCAGATAGGTTAAATATATTGCCCAAGGTTACACAGGTGGTAAATTTCTTCCTCCCTCTCTCCTTCCCTTCCTTTTTTTCTTTTGTAAGTTTGAGAAAATTCTTAGAAGTTATACATAATTGGCATTGACAACCTAAATGATACAATAGTCTAAAGTGTTAAAATGAAAGTTTCTTTTTCCTCCTCAGCCTCCCTCCACTCTCCAGAGATAATAACTGTAAATAATTTGATGTGTCCACATCCTTTTCATTATATCAAGCAAATATTATCAATGCTGCTGTGGATCTGGGCTGAATCTTATAATTCCTACATTCATAGAACTGGGCTTTGTCTTTAATCTTTGGCTCCAAGTTCCCCTTCTGTACCCCCAATTTTGCAACTGTATTTATTATCATATCCACATGCTTTTGTTTCTGCCAGAGTCTGCCAGAGTATGTCAGTGTTTATAATGAGGGTATCACTGTAGCTGAGTTTTATGAAATTAAATCTTTTCTATTTAACTTGCCAGTGTACACTTGGGGGATGTGACAGACGGTGGAAATGTTCTGTGCAGCAACTTCTTTATGACTGTGGTTGCAATTGAAAGGGTAAGCATGGCAGCAATATGCACTAAAACTGATAAATGGATTGTAAAGAGAAGCAGTATACAATCAAAGAACTGGTAACTGCTTGTCTCTGCTCTCTGATTTGATGTGGTACTGGTGATAGAGCCTTAGTCTTTCTGGAAGCAATCTGTGTTGTTGGAGAAACAGGTAAACCTATCTTAATAGATCTTGAATTTATCATCAGATTTCTTCTTTCATTGTGTCTTGCAGTAGTTTATCGTTTATAAGGGATCTGTAGCCATTCCATTTCCAACAAATTGTTCCCCAACATGTTCTTCGGCCCATTTAACTATTTCTTTGGTAAGTCAGTACTAAAGACCAGCCTCCACAACTCTTTGACCACAGTATTTCTTTCCTCATCTTCTTTCATTACCTACTGAATTCTCTCCTTTTACCTCCTACCCCCTCCCCAAATAAGCTCTATTCTCTTTAGCTCTCCTGGTAAATTTTTCATTTAGTTCTCTTTACTTTGCTTGCCTACCCATCATAGGATTCATGATATTGCCTTATTAATTCAAATAATCCCTTATTTCTTTGATCTTTTGTTAAGTTGGCAAAGCCTATTCTCAACCCAGGAAAGAAACTTCGTTTCTTTTCCTAATTGTATCCCTAGGCTGTGAAACATTTCCCAGTCAAGTCACAAAGCCATGATGACCAAGTTCAACAGTCAATTTAGGCTATTGAACTTCAGCTGGAGTTTGCACTTTGCTTACTAGTTCTTTCATTTTCTCTTGACCTTTTCTGATAATTCCCCGTAGTTGATGCTCAAAGTTTGTACAGTCTCTATTATCTCAGCCCTAAACATGGCTACTTAATTCCTTGGACAAGATCGAAGCCATCGAATATGGGCTCTTTGACTCTCCCTGGCTTATCTCTAAGCAGATTCTTATTGCCAAACTCTCTTCTCCACCAATATCTGATCATCTAACATCCCATCTTTGTCCTAGAAGAGGCACTTTTTCAAGGCAGGTGCCTCTTGTTTCCATCCTTTCCATATTCCTCTGGCACCCCTCTGCAATGTCAGCCTCTCTTTCATTCCCACAAATAAGATCAGCTTCTCTCAGAATCCTCCACAATCTTCTTTGAAATTAGATATTTTCTAAGATTGCTATTTAATTTCCCTCACACACCCTTTATTGCCAATATTTTATGCTATATTTGCAGTTTCCATTCCTTACTGCTTGTTTGTACTCCTTAAAATCTGGCTTCTGGTCTCTTAACTATGCTGAAATTCATTCTCCAAAGTTCCAATGTTCTGATAATAGTTTTATATAGTAACTTTTCCAATTCTCATCCTCTTAGTTATCTATAAGGCATATATTCTGTTGACTTTCATATCCTTCTTAAAATTATTTTCTCTTTATATTGAGGAACTTCTGTATTATGGACTTCTTCCTACCTTTAGATTCCCTCTCACATTAACTTCTGCTATATATTGTCAGCTTTTACATGGAGAATTAAAGGCATTTATCCACAAAAATGTCTATACTTGAATGTTTATGAGAATTTATTCAAAATAATCAAAACTTAGAATCAATATAAGTGTCCTTCAATGGGTGAATGGATAAACAAATTGTGATACATTCAGCAATTGGAAAATTTCTTGGAAATAAATATGAACAAGTTACTGATAAAAAACAAAATAATGAATGATTCTGAAAAGCATTATGTTAAGTGAAAGAAGCCAGACACTGATTACATACTTAACTGCTCAATTTATATGACTTTCATGAAAGGAAAAGCTACAGTGACAGTAAGCAGACTAGTGATTGCCAGCATCTGAGGCTGCGGTAGGGCATTGACTACCAAGAGACAAAAGAGAATGCTCTAGAACCATAGAAATGTTCTATACAATGATCATGGTGGTGGTGATTATATGACTGTATACAGTCTTGACTGACATATTAGAATTTTAGTATATATAATTTATATCCCAATATAGTTCTCAAAAAGTTAAAATATAAAAAGTTGGAACTATTGCAACAATTTTAATATCCTCATATACTTCCCAAAGAAATTGATTTTCATGGACATTTTTTATGCAAAATATTTCATTGTAGCCCCAAATACATTATAAATTTATTTTTGGATCTACCACTGAATCCAGTAATGTCAGTTAAATAGAACAGACTCTACAAATAGTTGACTTATTGATGTCATTATTTTGAGGAGAATCTGAGACTTGAGAAGTTATATACAGTAGTGTAATATTTAAAATATTTGTTGTTAAAGAAACATAAGTCCAAATTATTGCTTTGCTACTTAGCTGTGTGAGTTTGGGCAAATTTCTAGTTCTATATATGCCTCTGTTTCTTCTTCCGTAAAGTGGATAAAAGACTAGTACCTTTTCATAAGTTGATTCTAAGAATTAAAAGTGATATAACTCTTAAGTAGCTTGTATAGAGAAAACACTTTATAAAATGCAAAGAGTATTGGAAGGAATAAAATTGATTTTATCCTTTTAAGAGAACTTATTCAGTAGCTAAATTTTGCATGTATATAGATTTATTCCTCAACAAAAAGGTAAGCACTATCCATAATCAGGACTTGAAACAGTTGCTGATAAAATTCTCTCTATCGTATCCAATAGCTTATAGGTGAAAATTGTCTCACAATCTATTTTTGCAAATAATGTTTTATTGGAATAGAGTCATGTGCATTTGTTTTTGGTTGTTTTTACATTGCAAAGACCAGAATGTCAAAGATAAAATGGCTAAGTCAAAAGAAAAATAAGCAGATGCTAAAACTGAGATAATTCAGCTATTGGAATTAGCAAATACTGTTTTTTTTGAGACATGATCTTACCATGTTGCCTGGGTTAGAGCACAGTGGTGTGATCATAGCTTACTGCAACCTCAAACTCCTGAGATCAAGCAATCCTCCTGCCTCAGCCTCCCAAGTAGCTGGGACTACAGGTGCACACCACCAGGCTCAGCTAATTTTTCTATTTTTTGTAGAGACATATAGGCCTATATGTCTATGTACATATATATTTTTAAACAGATTAAAGGAACATATTTCCGACATGTAGGTCTGTATATGTGTGCGTGTATATACACATATATGTATATATGTATGTGTATCTATATATGCATATATAGGTCTATATATGTATGTGTATATATGTGTATAAGTATACTATACATATATGTATTAACATATGTATTATATGTGTATCTGTGGAAACAGAAAATTATATTATCTATGGAAACATAGGGAAAATCTTCAAACATGTATACCAACCTCTTAACTGTAGTTAATTCTGTAGTGAAGATTTACAGTGTTGGAACTGAAGGTGAAGAGAAGTTTCTCTACCCACTTTCTGTTATTTCTGTAATTTAAGTGAAATAATAGTTTTTAAAAAATAATTTTCCATATTTTAATAAAATTCTGCAACATTTTTTAAAAATGAAAATGCAGAGGAAAAAAATACTACATTTAACTTCCTCTTTTTTTCCTCTCCTCCTCAGTTGTCCCTTATCAGTATGTATCACAAACCTACCTGCTCACCTTCAGAGTGAAACAAGTTGATGAGTCTTTGACTCAAAAGAGGGCCCTGGCTCTGTTTTATAGGACAAGAGTGTACATACAGTAAGTCTTCACTTGACGTCGTCCATAGGTTCTCGGAAACTGTGACTTTAAGTGAAACGATGTGTAAGAAAACCAATTTTCCTACAGGCTAACTAATACAAACAAGAGTTAAATTCCCAGGGCATATTTCTGGTCACAAAAAATATCACCAAACTTCTAAATGATGACTTAAAACACTTCTAACATTAAACTTTGAAATGTGAGCTATACATACAATTAAGAAAGATCAATAAAAACAAGTAAAATAAGTATTTACCCAATTATTCCTGTTCAGAGTCATGGGTCGCTAGAGCCTCTCTTGGCAGGTCAGGGTGATAGGTGGAAATGGTTCTGGACAGGACACCATTGCATAGCAGGGTGCACTCACACGCACACCTACACTCGCTCAGACTAGGACCAGGACCAAGTAGACACGCCAATTCAACTAATGGCACAGCTTTGGGATGTGGGAGGAAAACCCACTCAGACATGAGGAGAATATGCAAACTTCACGTGGACATTGGCCTCACCTAGGATTGATTTTTTTCTCATCAACGTTATACCAAACGGCGTTGAACAAAATGTTATTTGAGGACCTGTTGTACTTGTATTGTTTACACAGAGTCCTTATTTTTGTGATTAGTTTCTCTGTTACCATCAGTAACTCTGATCACCTTCTGAGCAGCGCTGTGAAATGGAGAGGTGTGGGAAAAAGCAATGAGCTTTGGATGCAGACTGCCCTAAAAGAGAATTCCAATTCTTGAACACACTGGCTATAAATTTCTTTATCTGTAAAGTAGTAAATACAACACTACCTTCTTTGCATGTAATCTCATGAATAACAGAAGATAATCCAGAGTTTGGAGTCAGATTTTTCTGATTCTAAAAAGTCAAACTGTATTACCATGTCATGCTACCACTTCTCATAAAGTGCCAAATGCATTTTCCAATGGAAGCAATGCTGTAAAGAATGATTACATTTGGTGATTAACCCACAAATGTAATCTGACCAATCCCATTTGAAACTCTAGCATAGAAAGGCAGTAGACAAAATTCCTTAAGGTTGGAGAGTGGAAGGATATAAAAATATAAAGAAAGTGATGCATTTTATAAAGTACTATCTTAAAACAATTTTCAGATTTTTCTTGTTAGTTCCCAGGAGTTTTGATCCATATAGAAGTTATATTCCACTCTCTTATGGCCCATATTCATGGGACCATAATCAAATACTTAAAACTAGAAGATTCCATAAAGAGCCAAATTTCAGAATTGTGCTATGCATTATAACAGACATATAAAGATTATATTTGTAACTATCATAGATTGACTTAACTATTTCATTCCTGAGAACTCCTATATCATTTCACCAGTAGACAGGCAATTCAGACTGCCTGATTGACAAACTGTAGTAGGTGGAGGTGAGGAGTGATAACTCCTTGTGAGTCATGACCTTTTTTTTTTTTCTTTTTTTCGAGGACACATTCTTTAGGATGACAGCAAAGCACAGGTAACTGCTGATTTAAAATGGGCACGGTCATGGGAGGGAGGAGGGCGGTGGGTATATACATACATAATGAGTGAGATGTGCACTATCTGGGGGATGGTCATGCTGGAAACTCAGACTTGTGGGGGGAGGGGAGAAAGAGCATTTATTGAAACCTTAAAATCTGTACCCCCATAATATGCCGAAATAAAAAAAAAGTAGAAAAAAATAAATAAAATGGGCACGGTCAAGTTTTTCCAGTAACTCTCTTGGTATTGCTATTGCAGGTTTTCACAAACTGGGACACCAGTGTTTTAAAGGATGATGCTTAATGAATGGGTAGTCCACACACAAAAAGATTTCTGTGGCAAAATAAAGTTGGGAAATAATGCATTAAACAACATAAGCAATTTAAAACAGATTACTGTAGGACATTTCAGAATGCTTTGATATATAAATATGCATTGCAAATCTCCAAGCAGGTGATAAAGTAGGCAGTGCTTTCCAAACTTATTTGATTCTGTGACATGTTTATTGTGCACTTATTAATATCTCTCAGAACTAACTGTAAGACATTTTGGGAAATGCTGTCCTAATATTTATGGACCTATATATGCAGTTTATACTCAATTTTCAGTTCTTGAGTTTTGTTACTTTTTTGCCTTGCTCTGAAAACTTTTAAATGGAATGTGTAGCAGTAGGGACAAGTACCAAGCTAGGAAAGTTAATTGGGCAAAAGTATAAATCATGTGAGAAAAAGCAAGCAGAAGCTCGTTAGGAAGATGCTATACTTCTTTTTCATCAGCAAAGTATTTATAAGCCTTCTCTTAGTGTCAATTACTAGTAAAATTTCCAAACATGGCAACCCAGTCTATGGCTTTTTCATTGTATCATAATGTCAGGTGTTCCTTGTTAGGCCAATTTCTAGTTTCTGCCATCATATCCTTTCAGATTCATTTATTCAACCAGGCTTTATTAAACATCTATTATGTGGATTTCACTGAAGCAGGTGTTCAAAAGTATGAAGAAAGATGTAATAGACATAATTCCTGCTTTTGAGGAGCAAATAATCTCACAAGTGACATAAAACATACTGCTCATGTGGCCTTTCCAACTGCTGGACAATACAACAATCAGAGGCATGCCAGGTTCATTGTTCTTCTCCTCCACATTCAAATACATTCCAAGCCAGTTTTATTCTCAGCCCTTTTGCTTATGCCATTCTCTTGCTCTGGGATGGCCCCTTGCACCTTTCTATCAATATCTGGCCTTCCTTCAAGACGTAGCTGAAGTTCCCATCCTTTCTTTAAAGCCTCCCCTCAGTGCCTTTCTCTCATCTACTGTTTCTTTTGTTTTATACTGAGGTTTACTGCTTATGTATATTTTTCTTGCTTCCTCAAATAGATTTCAAGTTCCTTTAAAGTAGGGAGTGTTTTTGTTTTTGTTGTTGCTGTTTTGTTTTGTTTTTTTGAGACAGGATCTTGCTCTGTCACCCAGACTAGAGTGCAGTGGTGTCATCATAGCTCACAGCAACCTCAAACTCCTGGGCTCGAGTGATCCTTCTGGCACAGTGTCCTAAATAGCTAGGACTACAGTCATATGCCACCATGCTCAGGTAATTTTTTTTTTTTATTTTTTGTAGAGACAGGGGTCTTGCTATGTTGCTCAGACTGGTCTCAAACCCCTGGCCTCAAGGGATCTTCCCACCTCAACCTCCCAAAGTGTTAGGATTGCAGATGTGAGCCACCGCACTCGGCCGGGAATGTTTTATTAATATATGGGTATTGTTTACAGTATCTAGCACAATCCTGGACATAGAATAGGTTGATTATAAATATTTACTGACTGATGTACAAAACACACTTTTGCATTTTCATAGTAGGTGAGGTTGGGTATGGGCTGGAAGGGACAATAACATTCCAAGCAAAATAGTAGATGATTAAAAACTGTTAAGCGTTAGGGGCATGACCTTAATATTCAAATGCTTTATTGTCGACTAATTATATTTCTGGCCAAAATAACACATTTGAAATGGTATTTTAGCATAGTTCAAATGTCTACAATTAGAACCTGAGAAACGATGTACCTACCATTTTTGTCTACATTTAAAATATTCCCACAGCATACTCTAAGAAATTAGTGTATGTCCTCAAACTGATACCTGCCAAGATATTATTTCATATTAGCCCAAAGAACCACTTTTTCTCAGAAATATCACAGCAATAAAAACTAAATTTTGGAGTGATCAAGATTTAAAAGGCCTTATCTCCTTTTTGTTTATTGCACTAGTTTTCCTCTTGAAATTAGCTCATCCTGGGATGTATAAAAACTCTTTTATATATATTCAATGAAGTAAAATGAAAAATTAATGTACATGCAAAATGAAGTTTATGCAAGCCACTTTTAAACTTTGGATAAAATGAAATTTTAAGCTGTTAGTACAATAACATTTTCAATTTTAATAAAATCAGCTGCAGTGTCTACTTTGGCAGAAGGACATAGGACACATTATTTTCACTATCAGCTGCTCTTGTAAACAACACAGTTTAGTTCAATTAGTGTGACTCATTCCAACAGGTCATTAAATCAATATTATAGGCTAACTGAACTGATTAGTCAAAAAATTTTTTTCACAGCTGAAAGTCATCACATTATGTAAATTCTATTTGAGAAAACCTTGATTGACCTGAATCTAACTAGCCTGAACTCTCAATTAACAGGATTTTTTTTTCTGAACTTGAATTTTAAAAGAACAGGGCAAATGACAGGACAATTTTATAGCAAGTATAGTATACACAGTGTAATTGTTAATCATAGGTTGTCCCAATGAGTAGACCTATTTGTTGTGTTTTGAGGAACACTGGGAAGGACTCTAGCCCTCCAGATAGCATCCAGTTGCTGATGCCTAAAATTGTCCTTTTGTTATAAGTCTTTGATTTAAAGAATGGCAAAATACAACTGTCCTTGAAAAGAGAATTGCATAATCTAATAAGTGAGTTATGCCTTATTGATAAAAAGTTTATTTGATTTTTCCCAACATGAAAGATCACAGTGAGGACCATAAAAGGCCAATTTTGATGGGGTAAGGGTGGATTGAAAACCAAGGACATGCAGTGTTCAAAGAAGGCAGACCTCTTATGGCTACCACATGAAAGACCCTGGTTATCTGCTAGGGCAGCTTGGGAGGAAGTATCCTTGGGGATAAGACAATGAAGGGAAGGCTGGAACATACCAAAGCAAGCTTGATTTACTTCACAGTTTTTCTAATGTCAGCCTTA